TCACTACAACATCAAAATATGTGTTCTTTTTCTTCACTTTCCTCTTGTATGGCTTCGGAATGGAGGAAGGGGGGGGGGGGGGGATACAAGGTCACTACAACATAAAAATATGTGTTCTTTTTCTTCACTTTCCTCTTGTATGGCTTCGGAAAGGAGGGGGGGGATATAAGTTTACACTAGTCACTACAACATCAAAATATGTGTTCTTTTTCTTCACTTTCCTCTTGTATGGCTTCGGAAAAAGGGGGGGGGGGGGGGGGGAAATACAAGTTTACACTAGTCACTACAACATCAAAATATGTGTTCTTTTTCTTCACTTTCCTCTTGTATGGCTTTTCGGAAGGGAGGAAGGGGGGGGGGGGGGGGGGGATACAAGTTTACACTAGTCACTACAACATAAAAATATGTGTTCTTTTTCTTCACTTTCCTCTTGTATGGTTTCGGAAAGGAGGGGGGGGGGGGGGGGGGGGGGGGATATAAGTTTTAACACTAGTCACTACAACATAAAAATATGTGTTTCTTTTCTTCACTTTCCTCTTGTATGGCTTCGGAAAGGAGGATGGGGGGGGGGGGGGGGGGGGGGGGGGGGGGGAAATACAAGTTTACACTAGTCACTACAACATAAAAATATGTGTTCTTTTTCTTCACTTTCCTCTTGTATGGCTTCAGAAAAGAAAGGGGGGTGGGGGGGGGGGGGGGGGGGGGAATACAAGTTTACACTAGTCACTACAACATAAAAATATGTGTTCTTTTTCTTCACTTTCCTCTTGTATGGCTTCGGAAAGGAGAGGGGGGGGGGAAGGAGATACAAGATTTTGTGTCTTGCTCTGCTGGCCCCACCTGTTATAGTCACATTGTGCTTTGTAAATTTTCTGCAATGCTATCTTTCCATCTTGTTCTTGGTCTACCTTGTGCTCTACGTCCTTCTCCTCTTTTGGTGTGAACCCCGACTGGTATGGTGTTATAGGCATTCTCTCCAACGTGGCCAACCACTTTTTATGTAACTTAGAATTAGTTTTGTGCCATTTTTCTCTTTTTGAATTCATTCCTGATTCTAACTTGTTTGGTTACTCCTGCAGCTTTGCTTACTCATCTCGTTTCCATGGTTACTAATTTTCTGGTCTAGTTTGCTGTCAGTGACCATGTCTGGTAGAGGTAGCAAAGTGTGGGGATAAATTTGCTTAAAATGAATATGCATAAAAATACATGTTGGCATTTAAAAATATTACATTTTAAAACACCCACTCTAGAAATGTGAAGCTAGTGATTAGAAAGGGGTAACAATCTGGCCTTGACCTCATGACAAGTCGCTCTTGCCTTGACCTAATGATAGGTCACTCTCTCACCTTGACCTCATGACAGGTCACTTTCTTTCCTTGACCTCATGAAAAGTCACTCTCTTTGCTTGACCTCATGACAGGTCACTCAGTTAAAATATTTGCTTTCACCAGAATATCCCTGACATAATTTCGAACGTTGTTATGAAGAAATGATTCAGTTTCTTGGAATATTTGTTTCGCCAGATTTCTGAGCTTCTCCGAGCCAGCTGCCATTTTTTGGTACAGTGGTTTTGTGTATTTCTGTTTGCCTGCAAGAAGAGAAAAACTATTAGCTTAACAAAACCACAACTTGAAACAAGAGATAATCAACAATTTCCTGGTTTTTTCAGAAATGCTTCTTGTTCTGCCTTTGTCTTTAAAAGGGTGATCTGCAGATTGTGTTGTGGTTTACAACTAAGCTGTGATATCTGTGCCTGTCAGTCAGACCCCCAGGAAAGGTAATGATCTGCCAGAATCTTCATTAAAACTGTACTCGTGGACCAAATGATGCAGTCTGGGAAATGAACCCATGATCTTTCGAGTGCCAGGTAACTGGCTTGACCACTGAGCCAGGAAGAATTTGTTGTTCCTTAACTCTTTGAGTCCCAGGGAGTTAAGCATCAGAGGCATTAAGGGTAGTCAAAAAAGATGTAAAATCAGCGCATCTTGCCTTCATTGGGCTTCTAGGCAGGAACCTATGAACGTGTGATGCGTTCCTTGGGACTTAAAGAGTTAAAGAACATAACTAGGCATAATCCATGATGCTGTAGAAAAAATCTAATTTCGCCTTTGTGTTTCCCTACGCTAATTGAATCTAACAATGTCTAATCAAACGTACAATGTTCATTAATAAACTTAAATTTGAAATGACAAATTTAAATAGCAACAATAGGTGGAAAATACTTACTTACATTGACTGTCAAGAGATTACGGGTGGAAAGTACTTAGCCTGGCAGTGTAACAAAGTACTGGTCAGAAGTACTTGCCTTGATTGTGTAAACAGATTATAGGTGGAAAGTACTTAGCCTGGCTGTGTAACAAAGTACGGGTGAGTAGTACTTACCTTGACTGTGTCAAGAGATTATAGGTGGAAAGTACTTAGCCTGGCTGTGTAACAAAGTACGGGTGAGAAGTACCTACCTTGACTATGTAAAAAAAAAAATTTCGGGTGGAAAGTACTCGTACTTACCCTGACTTTGCAAGAACTGTCGGATGTCCTCAAATTTTTCTTCGATCTCATTTTTGATGGCAATCTCACACCAACGAAATTGCACCTGCAAGATAAGTGACAGATAAGTTTACAGCCTCACACATAAACAACAGAGAATGGAGAGAGAGAAGGATAAAAAAATCAGTAGAGAAGTTTTAAAAACTAAACAGTAGAGAAGTTTAAAAACAAATATTAGGGAAGGTGAAAAAGTGAGGGTTCCATTTGCCCACAAAGAGACACATGAGGACAGTCCCACAGTACGAGAGACCAGTCCGCCCTAGATGGGTAATCTTGTCAATATCATGTCCAGCCATATTTACTTTCCAGAACACTACCTCCTACCCATATTAGGCAGGGTCAACAGTGAATCCCTAGCCAATTAAAGGCATGGTCAACAGTAGATTTCTGGTCAATTTTAGGCAGGGTCAACAGTGGATCTCTGCTCAATTTTAGGCAGGGTCAAAAGTGGATCTCTGGTCAATTTTAGGCAGGGTCAAAAGTGGATCTCTGGTCAATTTTAGGCAGGGTCAAAAGTGGATCTCTGGTCAATTTTACGCAGGGTCAACATTGGATCCTTGGTCAATTTTAGGCAGGGTCAACATTGGATTTCTGGTCAATCAAAAAAATTATCTGCCTCAACAAGTATAAGAACCGATGACCATGGTGTTGGATATCAAGTGTGCTATACACTCCAAAACATACAATATGTGGTCTTGTAATTAGTGAACTATGAATGGTCCTTTTCTAGCACAAAAGGACAGTCTTTATGAGAGCACACTAGACAACAGAAAATAAAAAAAAGATGACAGTTCACCAGAAAATCTGGGACAAGCCATCATGATCGCTGTAAGATCCTCTTCCTCTTGGGTGTTCACTGGTTTTCAGTTCTGGTGGAAAGTGCTGGTTAATTTTTCTTGTGTGAACTTTGATCCTGCCCAGGACTTGTCTGTTGAATGCACATCCATGTTTCTGATCTGGCTCATTGTGTGCAGACTGTTTGCTTCCTGCCTCTCAGACAGAAGCGCTCTCACTTTGATAAAACATCAATCCCATCTAAACTAGCCAGGCTCAGACAAAGAAGCCATTTTTAGGGTGACCATGCAGAAGTGTGGAGAGGTCTTCATCAGTATCAGCTCTGGTTGTGGTGCACCACAGCAGGTGTTGATGCACTTCAGCATCCTGAGCTCTAAGATAAAGAGGGAGGGCACTTAAAATGGACAAGATCAAAGATAAAAAGGGAGGGCACTTAAAAATGGACAGGATCAAAGATAAAAAGGGAGGGCACTTAAAAATGGACAGGATCAAAGATAAAAAGGGAGGGCACTTAAAAATGGACAGGATCAAAGATAAAAAGGGAGGGCACTTAAAAATGGACAAGATCAAAGATTAAAAGGGAGGGCACTTAAAAATGGACAAGATCAAAGATAAAAAGGGAGGGCACTTAAAAATGGACAGGATCAAAGATAAAAAGGGAGGGCACTTAAAAATGGACAGGATCAAAGATAAAAAGGGAGGGCACTTAAAAATGGACAGGATCAAAGATAAAAATAGAGGGCACTTAAAAATGGACAGGATCAAAGATAAAAAGGGAGGGCACTTAAAAATGCACAGGATCAAAGATAAAAAGGGAGGGCACTTAAAAATGGACAGGATCAAAGATAAAAGGGGAGGGCACTTAAAAATGGACAGGATCAAAGATAAAAAGAGAGGGCACTTAAAAATGGACAGGATCAAAGATAAAAAGGGAGGGCACTTAAAAATGGACAGGATCAAAGATAAAAAGGGAGGGCACTTAAAAATGGACAGGATCAAAGATAAAAAGGGAGGGCACTTAAAAATGTACAGGATCAAAGATAAAAAGGGAGGGCACTTAAAAATGGACAAGATCAAAGATTAAAAGGGAGGGCACTTAAAAATGGATAAGATCAAAGATAAAAAGGGAGGGCACTTAAAAATGGACAGGATCAAAGATAAAAAGGGAGGGCACTTAAAAATGGACAGGATCAAAGATAAAAAGGGAGGGCACTTAAAAATGGACAGAATCAAAGATAAAAAGGGAAGGCACTAAAAAATGGACAAGAGGAAAAGAAATGATACCAGGAAGATAGTGGGGACACACAAAATGCTAAACTATATGACACAGCAGTGTATCCTGGCTTGGTCACATGACAAGATTTGAGTTAAGTCAAGAATTTACATCACATCACTCAAGGCTTTCCCATGTGTGCTCCGTCCTCATCTTCAGCAGCCAGCGCAGAGTTCCAATACTGATGGTACCGGTCACAATCTGGTTATATGTCCGCCTTGCCTTTCCTCTGAGTTTAGTGAGCTGGCCAGAGCCTCTGGTTACACCCAGGTGCCTCATTCTCTCCAGGCCAAATGACAAGATTACCATAAGAATGACAGTCTATAGAGACACCTAGCACCCAGACACGTGGAATAACAAACAGTAGTAGTGTTGACAAACTGACCTCAGCATTTCTCGATGCTGACAAATAGGGACAATGCTGCAACAGTTGTCGGATCTTTTCTGGAGCCAGCGGAGATCTCTCTGAGAGGATATCCAGAAAGTGGATGATCTTGTAGGTGCCCCAGCTCTCAAAGTCTGGAACTCGGCCCTGGAAAGACAAGATGACCCTGACAGTTCTGGGACAGTCTGGAATTTAACTGTTCAATCCACTCAAAATGTGACACATTCTGTCAAAGAATATGTCAGTATATTTGTATTAAGATGAAAACAGCCCAGAGCACTTGTTTAGATCTGTAGCATTGGGAGCAGATATGGAATTTAGTTTCAAACCAAAACATGATGTGACAACCACCCTTTTCAGAGTAAATGTAGAGGAGGAGGAGGAGGAGAAGAAGAAGCAGAAGAAGAAAAAGAAGAAGAAGAAGAAGAAGAAGAAGAAGAAGAAGAAGAAGAAGAAGAAGAAGAAGAAGAAGAAGAAGAAGAAGAAGAAGAAGAAGAAGAAGTAGAAGAAGAAGAAGAAGAAAAAGAAGAAAAAGAAGAAGAAGAAGAAACAGAAGAAAAAGAAGAAGAAGAAGAAAAAGAAGAAGAAGAAGAAGAAGAAGAAGAAGAAGAAGAAGAAGAAGAAGAAGAAGAAGAAGAAAAAGAAGAAGAAGAAGAAAAAGAAGACAAGTGTCTGTTAACAATACATTTAAATTATTATTTTTCTGACCTCCCACCTCTTGCCACTTCCATTCTGATATCACCAAAGAAATCACAAATGGTCCCAAATGTAACATTTGTGTTCCATTTAGCAAGGCTGTAAGGCACTCTAACTAGCAAGGCTGTAAGGTACGCTAACTAGCAAGGCTGTAAGGCACGCTAACTAGCAAGGCTGTAAGGCACTCTAACTAGCAAGGCTGTAAGGCACGCTAACTAGCAAGGCTGTAAGGTTCTCTAACTAGCAAGGCTGTAAGGTCCTCAAACTAGCAAGGCTGTAAGGTACTCTAAATAGCAAGGCTGTAAGATTCTCTAACTAGCAAGGCTGTAAGGTACTCTAACTAGCAAGGCTGTAAGGTACTCTAACTAGCAAGGCTGTGGGGTACTCAAACTAGCAAGGCTATAAGGTACTCTAACTAGCAGGGTGAAACTAGCAAGGCTATAAGGTACTCTAACTAGCAGGGTGAAAGAAAACAGACTAAATAAGACAACATATTTTTCAACATTATACAGCAACAAAGGAAAGACTAAACAAGACTGTTAGCTACCTGTAAATGCAAGGGTAGAAACAGAAGACAACACTTAAAGTACCTCTACATCCAAGGGTAGAAACAGAAGACAACACTTAAAGTATGTCTATTACCAAGGGTAGAAATAGAAGACAACACAAAGTACCTCTACATCCAAGGGTAGAAACAGAAAACACTTAAGTACCTCTATATCCAAGAATAGAAACAGAAGGCAACACTTAAAGTACCTCTATATCCAAGGGTAGAAACAGAAGGCAACACTTAAAGTACCTCTATATCCAAGGGTAGAAAAATAAGACAACACTAAAAGTACCTCTATATCCAAGGGTAGAAAAATAAGACAACACTTAAAGTACCTTTATGTGCAAGGGTTAAACTGGAATGTAATCTATTTCTACAGCCAGGCCAGGTTAGAAGAGGAACAACTAAACAAGCTTGAAATATATATATATATATATATATATACAGGAAAGACTAAACAAGATATGTAAGATATCTGCACAAGTCAAGGTACAGGACATAACAGGACAGACAAAAAAAAAAAAACTGTGACACTTCTACAAAGCAAAATTGGAACAGATTTACTATGAATGAATCAATCAATACATAAACACCTCAACCGTCCATAAAATCTGGATAACAGATTTTCAGTACTCACAGACAAATCTTCTATATCTTGTTTCTGAGAGAACAATTCAGCGGCCTGTTTGGCTGGTGCAGACAACTCCTCGTGCGTCGACAGGTCTGGGCTGAAGGGTGGCCAACCAGGCGCATTTAACCAAGTGTTGACGAACTCAAATCCTGGCCTGTAAATAAAATACAGGAAAACTGCTGGTCAAAGGTCACAATACAAAGTGTTCTCACTGACAGGCCCTCACGTCCACATTGAGGAACATTTTCTCAACATTACCTTGGTTCTCACTGACAGGCCCTCAAGTCCACATTAAGGAACATTTTCTCAACATTACCTTGGTTCTGACATCAGCTAGCCTAACAATGGGAACAAGGTGATTTCATGGAAAGCAAAGGCAGCCAGTGAGGTGCTGATCACATCACTCATCGAGTGCCAACTCGTCTTAAAAAAAATAAGTTAAGCCCTATATGCCAAATGCACCTAGATGTGAAAAAGGTCCTTGACTTAACCATTACTGACTCTTATGTCTGTTGTTTAGTGGAACTATTCTGTGAGCAATCATTCTTTCACCTGTGCTAACACGAAGTGCAGATGTTTCTTCTGTCTTTCTTGCAGTAGAACCTTTATGTGAGCAATCATTCTTTCACCTGTGCTAACACGAAGTGCAGATGTTTCTTCTGTCTTTCTTGCAGTAGAACCTTTATGTGAGCAATCATTCTTTCACCTGTGCGAACACAAAGTGCAGACGTTTCTTCTGTCTTTCTTGCAGTAGATCCTTTATGTGAGCAATCATTCTTTCACCTGTGCTAACACAAAGTGCAGACGTTTCTTTTGTCTTTCTTGCAGTAGAACCTTTATGTGAGCAATCATTCTTTCACCTGTGCTAACACGAAGTGCAGATGTTTCTTCTGTCTTTCTTGCAGTAGAACCTTTATGTGAGCAATCATTCTTTCACCTGTGCTAACACAAAGTGCAGACGTTTCTTCTGTCTTTCTTGCAGTAGAACCTTTATGTGAGCAATCATTCTTTCACCTGTGCGAACACAAAGAGCTGACGTTTCTTCTGTCTTTCTTGCAGTAGAACCTTTATGTGAGCAATCATTCTTTCACCTGTGCTAACACAAAGTGCAGATGTTTCTTTTGCCTTTCCCGCAGTAGAACTTTTGAGTGACCACTAATCCGTTCACCTGTGCAAACTTGAAGTGCAAATGTTTCTTTCCCCATGGAAATATGTGACTGATCACACATCCATCTATGAGGAAATATGTGACTGATCACACATCCATCTACGAGGAAATATGTGACAGATCACTCATCCATCTACGAGGAAATATGTGACTGATCACACATCCATCTGTGAGGAGATATGTGACTGATCACACATCCATCTACGAGGAAATATGTGACTGATCACACATCCATCTGTGAGGAAATATGTGACTGATCACACATCCATCTACTGAATTGTTCTGCCACTGATGTTTTTTTAAATTTGAGGTTCACAAGTCATTTCTCATGAATAACTAGTGCTTTTTGTGTGTGCTTGTTTCTTTAATGCCATCAATCCATCACTTTTTTGTCTTCCCTTTTTTCAGAAACCACCACAAATGTGTGAACTATGTGGCAGACAGGTGATAAAATCATGAAATTCTCTGTTGATATGATAGACACTGTGCTGTTTCTTCGTCTTTGCCTTCGCAGAATGTAAACTAAGGTAGGAAGTTCTTGCTGTTTGTCCACTTTGGGACTTTTTGTTCCAGAACTTGAGTACTGCATGTATATCCATTTTGTAGATCTGGCTTATTTCTTTACAGACTGTTGGTTCTTCAACTCTCAGGCAGATGCACTCTGATTTTGAAGGAAACAGCCCTAATTCATTGTCTTGGACAGCATGTTTGTTAGAAGGGTAGAGGTCTATTATTTTTTTCCTTTCAAAATGGGGTCCTGTTACCCACACAGGGAGTACCCTTTCTTGCCTTCTGTTGTATTTAACTGTTCTTGTGTCGCTGGTCACGGTCGCTGGTCACGGTTCTCAAGCAACTTAATTCCCATGCTGTGATCTTTTATTCTTGTTTGTTAATTAGATTCTACATCTTACACAGGTAACAAAGTGATGGTATAGATACATTAATGCTTGTTGGCTACATCTTACACAGGTAACAAAGTGATGGTATGAATACATTAATGCTTGTTGGCTACATCTCACACAGGTAACAAAGTGCTGGTATGAATACATTAATGCTTGTTGGCTACATCTCACACAGGTAACAAAGTGCTGGTATGAATACATTAATGCTTGTTGGCTACATCTTACACAGGTAACAAAGTGTTCGTATGGATACATTACTGACAGTTAGTCTAAGATCCCCTTTAGTTGACTTTATTTGCCAAATCCAGAATTTATTTAGTAATCATATTGTGCTTATAAAACTTATTACAACTTTTTTATTTGTTTGTCTTTCCATGCCATTTGCTACATGTTCACATACAACATTATTTTCGCTACTGTAATGCTCTCCCATTAACTGTTTTCTGCACAAAGAGACAATCTAATTTAATAAAGCATCAAACTCACTTTTCATGGACTCTTTGGTCACGCAGATGAGGGAAATAATTCAAGAAGAAATCAAACAGATCCTCTGCAACAATGCTCTGTAACAGAGGAATGGTTTCTTTGCTTTTCAAGGTCATCAGGACAAACTCTCAAGGTGGACAAAGAAAGGTTGTAAGCCAGTTCTTCTTTACCGGTCTGAGCAATGACAGTGAACAATGACAGTGAGCAATGACAGTAAACACTGACAGTGAACAATGATATATGGATGTGGAATAAAGAAACTATTTTTAGTTAGTTAGTTAGTTGGGTTATCATTGCAATTTGGACATGTCCATAGGTGCTCAGATCCTCCCCTCAGTATGAACCCCATCGTCCGATGGCTAATAGTACCAGTTCTATGTTGATTAACAAGTCCTCTGGCGTGTCTGGTGTGCGTCTCGTTTTTTGCTATGCCGATCTTAATTCCCAAGTCTGCCATTCTGGCGAGTGATGTGGATTCATGCCACCAAAGTCCTCCATCCTTCCCATTTCTCTGAGGGCATGATCCATAGGCTGACCGTCAGTAGTGATAGCGGATCCAGCCAACCTGTCAGCTCTTTCATTTCCATCGACGCCTGCGTATCCCGGAACAAAAATAAAGGTGACTCCACGCACAGTGGACTTCTGTAATGATTCAAGCCATTGTCTTCGCACTGAACCTGCCTGAACCCTCCGGATCATTGAATCACTGAGTATACATACACGGGTGTATTTTTGTGTTTCAAGCCAGGCAAGCGCTTGCGTCACTGCCATCACCTCCATCGTCATGCTGCTGGTTGTCATGGAGGAGGCGCCGTTGGCTTCTTTGACTGTTCTGCCCGCTGAGCGTGCTGTGAATGCCCATGAACTTCTTTTTTTTGGCGTATAACAGATCTGTCTGTATAGATTATTGCATCTGCTTCGTCTGAATTTTCACCGATGAGAGCGTTGACCTTTGCATTAACAGCAACAGGATTCTCTTCTCTACATCGCCTGTTGAGTGTGACAATACAGGAAAATGTACAAATAAACGCCTGAGGCACAGGTATCCATTCTGCACCGGGTATGATGTCGGTTAGGCTGCATATTTGCCTAATAACATCTTAGCGTACTCTGCAGCTCAGCTGTGGAATAATCTTCCATCGGAAATAAAAAATATCAATAACCCCTTTAGATACAATCAGAAACTATTTGAATATTATCTCACTACAGACTATATGCCGCCCTAAAAAGATTATAGTGTGTTAAGGCTTTGATGTATTTCTTATTAACGTTTTTTTTTGGGGGTGGGGGGTCGGGGAACTTGGTGGGGGTTGAAAACTGAAGCTTATTATTGTTTAAAACTGAAGATGTCAGTCGAATGCATTCCAATATTTGTAACTAATATTTAATTGGTTTTGATGATGTTTATATTATGCAACCTGTCAGACTTACATTTTTTGAATAGGTTTATTATTATACTCTTTCAAACGTTCAAGTAATGTCAGTATAAATTAGAGCACATTTCAGCATTTGTAATTAAGACTTAGATATTGTAATTTTGTTTCTTCTTTTTTTTGTTCTTTTGTTTCTTTTCTATTTTTCTCAAAATTTTAATTGTGCATTCCTCTTTTTATTATTATTATTAATATTATTATTATTATTATTATTATTAACTATGAAATGAGGAAAAAATGAAACATTGTATGAAAGGAGCGGAGTGGAAGGGCAGAATGTTAGACGGGCCTGCGTGCCCAATTCTTAACCCTTTGAAAATAAAGTTTGTTTGTTCGTTCTGCCCGACCTAGCCACGACTTTCCCCTCTTCAGTCTGTCGCCCTTTTCACTAAAAAGCGCTTGATGCAGTGGGTGTTTCTTATCAGCACATATTTTAAGGTATGCCCGAGCCCTCCACATCCTGATCCTTTGGTTCATTGTTGGAAAGTCAAGTAGATACCTCATTGCTCCACAGGATGTGTCTCTTGTACATCCCAAAATAATGCGCATGGCTTCATTGTGCACCTTTTCGAGTCGTTCAATCTGGGTAGCACTGACAGTGAGGATGGCCAGAGCGTATTCAATAGGGGAAAGGACCAGACCATAGAATAGAAGTATTAGTAGTCTTTGCTCAATATTGGAAGCAGCCATAATCCTCATTGCAGATAGACCTTTGCGTGCTTTTGTTATCACATCGTCAACATGTTCCTTGAATGACAAGTTGCGATTAAACCCCGAGATACTTCATAACATTGCTTCTGATCAACACATTATCACCCATTTTTACTTCTGGTAAGTCCGACTTGACAATGTGATTGTTCAAAGAGAACTATAACTATTTTTTAGTACTAGTAAATGGAGTTGTTACTATACGACTCCAGAAATTCATGAGAAAAGTAAATGAATTGACTGAGATTATCAACAAGAGGCGTCAGATAGAAATTAGCATGTGAGAAAACACAATTTTAAAAAAGGTGGACACAAACAATTCTTTACACAATTTATTGCCTGCCATCGGGTGAATTACTACTGTTATATAAACATAGAGTTAGGTACCCAATCCGAAGATAATCATCTTGATGTTTTGAAGATAAGACAAATAGTATACAGAGAAAGAGAGACAAAGTGATCTGTGAATCTCAGTGGAAAGAATTCCGTCCTTATGCTTCCATAAATGTTGAATGTACTCTGTAGTAATGCACCTAACAAGATACATCAAAATAAAATGTTGAATGTACTCTGTATTAATGCCCCTGACAAGATACGTCAAACTAAATGTTGAATGTACTCCGTACTAATGCCCCTGACAAGATACGTCAAACTAAATGTTGAATGTACTCTGTATTAATGCCCCTGACAAGATACGTCAAACTAAATGTTGAATGTACTCCGTATTAATGCACCTGACAAGATACGACAAACTAAATGTTGAATGTACTCCGTATTAATGCACCTGACAAGATACATCAAAATATGCCAGGCAATAAATTGTGCACAGTATTGTTTGTGTCTGCATTATTTAAATTCACAATGTTGTCAGTTTATAAAACACAACGCAAGAGAAATACATGAAAACAACATTCAGATATCCATTAGTCATTGCTTTAGTGGCAGGGCCACAAATAATAATATAAGTGCATAAGTACAACATTTATTTGAACAAAATTTCAAATGACACAAATGATCAGAGATTATTTATCACTGACGTTTGCTCAAGAACATACATTTAAAAAGAAGCATTATTATTTCAACAATAACACAGACGTCAATAAACTGACCTTGAATTTGAATTCTTGAATGTAAGCCTTGAGAAACTCATCAAATTTGTGGACATCTCCGACCAGACTTTGAAGGTAGCAGACGAAAGAGAAACCTTTCTCGTATGGTGTCTCATTGTACGTATCATCTGGGTCCACTCCTTTCTCGATGATGACTCGCAACTTTGTCAGTGGCCCCTGCGAGGAGAACAACATGTGTCTTGTACCAAAAATGCTCATTGGTGTCTTCCTTATTTTCACATTATCTTGTTTATTTCTTTTATCTATACCACTGCTGTTTTATCTTGTTGTGATATGTGTTATCTTTTATTTCTTCCATCTATATCACTGTTATTTTATCTTGTTGTGGTATGTTTGATCTTTTATTTCTTCCATCTAAACCACGGTTGTTTTATCTTATTGTTTTATGTGTTATCTTTTATTTCGTGTTCTTGTACTTTCCTATCATCGTTCAACCTTTTTGTGATCTGTATCATCGTGTCTTATTCTATTCTATATTTTCTTACCCTTTCTTCTCTGGTAATACATTGTCTGTTTTATCCTCTCCCGTGTTGTTTGTCCTTATCTTATCATACAATATTTGTAAACTTAATGTTCTTTTCTCGTTCTGTGCTATTATATCTCATTATTTGAACCATTTAGCAAAAATAACAATGTCAAAAGTGAAAAAACTGTTCGTATTAAAAGTTGTTTACATGATCTGAACAAATGCTTCTTCTGCACTCAAACCAAAGAAGGCAGTTGTTGGCATGCTGCCTTGTGGTTTACAGCTAGGCTGAGACATCTGTGTCTTTCAGCCAACACGTCAGACGTCGGCAACCCCTAATTAGCTGCCTTTGACCAGATACTGGTTGAGGGACACTGACTCTATTTCCTTTCCTCCCAAAATTGGGTCCCGGAATCTACAAGGGGAAATCTGAACAAATAAATCATGAATGACTCACAGCTGGATCCTGTTCAATATGTCTACGAAGCAGAGCTTGGCCAGACAAAGCCTCCAGACACATAGCGGCTTTCCCATACAGTTCTTCTTCAATACGCCTCTGTCCGTACATGGTGAACCCCTGGCAAACAATCAAACAAACAATACTACATCAACGCTTGCAATCAATACTAATTCATCCAGTCTGCTGGGCATTTTCTTCTTAACACTCACCAGTTGTAAAACTACGGTGGAAAGTTCTGCTCATTTGTCCACATCTGGACTTTAGTCTAGTTACATACACTGTGTGTTGTGAGCACATCCATTTTACAGATCTGACTTATCTGTATGCACATTGTTGGTTTCTCAGGCAGATGCACTCTGACTTCAAAGGAAGCCCCAATTAATCAGCTTTTACTACATGCTTTACTACAGATTGCTGAGGTACCAGTCTAATTTAGCTTTTGAACACACACGTTTGTGTGCAGAGTACCGTCCCATTAATTTTTTTTGAGCAAGGTATAATAACATGATTTCAGGTCAAGGACAATCAGAAAGTTCCAGGGGATATAACTCTCCATGAAATTATTCAACTCTATATTTTATGCAGAATATATTATCTTCTTCTTCTTTCGTTCGCTTGAAAGAGATTATCTATATCTGCAATCCTCTCTCTAGTATGAACTTTCCTGTCTTTCGTAATTCACTCATTGACTCGTAAAGTTTGACTTGCACCAATGTTTCTCTTGGCCAAAAGTTTTGCCTTGATATGTTGTATTTGGGACAGTCTTGAAGGACATGATCTGTTGTCTCAGGTGCCAATCTACATGTGCACATGGCTGATTCGCCAATTTTAAATTGTGTGTACATGTGTCTGCGGAACTGACTGTGTCCTGTTCTAAGGCGCAGAATAATAACTTGCTCTGGTCTGTCCATAAAATTGTTATTATTATGCTCAGAGCTGATGTGGTTCTGTTTATGCTCAGAGCTGATGTGGTTCTGGTTATGCTCAAAGCTGATGTGGTTCTGTTTATGCTCAGAGCTGATGTGGTTCTGTTTATGCTCAGAGCTGATGTGGTTCTGTTTATGCTCAGAGCTGACATGGTTCTGGTTATGCTCAGAGCTGACATGGTTCTGGTTATGCTCAGAGCTGATGTGGTTCTGGTTATGCTCAGAGCTGATGTGGTTCTGGTTATGCTCAGAGCTGATGTGGTTCTGGTTATGCTCAGAGCTGATGTGGTTCTGTTTATGCTCAGAGCTGATGTGGTTCTGGTTATGCTCAGAGCTGACATGGTTCTGTTTATGCTCAGAGCTGATGTGGTTCTGTTTATGCTCAGAGCTGATGTGGTTCTGTTTATGCTCAGAGCTGATGTGGTTCTGGTTATGCTCAGAGCTGATGTGGTTCTGGTTATGCTCAGAGCTGATGTGGTTCTGGTTATGCTCAGAGCTGACATGGTTCTGGTTATGCTCAGAGCTGATTTGGTTCTGGTTATGCTCAGAGCTGACATGGTTCTGTTTATGCTCAGAGCTGACATGGTTCTGGTTATGCTCAGAGCTGATGTGGTTCTGGTTATGCTCAGAGCTGATGTGGTTCTGGTTATGTTTAGAGCTGATGTGGTTCTGTTTATGCTCAGAGCTGATGTGGTTCTGGTTATGCTCAGAGCTGATGTGGTTCTGTTTATGCTCAGAGCTGATGTGGTTCTGTTTATGCTCAGAGCTGATGTGGTTCTGGTTATGCTCAGAGCTGATGTGGTTCTGGTTATGCTCAGAGCTGACATGGTTCTGTTTATGCTCAGAGCTGATGTGGTTCTGGTTATGCTCAGAGCTGATGTGGTTCTGGTTATGCTCAGAGCTGACATGGTTCTGTTTATGCTCAGAGCTGATGTGGTTCTGGTTATGCTCAGAGCTGATGTGCTTCTGTTTATGCTCAGAGCTGATGAGGTTCCGGTTATGCTCAGAGCTGATGTGGTTCCGGTTATGCTCAGAGCTGATGTGGTTCTGTTTATGCTCAGAGCTGATGTGGTTCCGGTTATGCTCAGAGCTGATGTGGTTCTGGTTATGCTCAGAGCTGACATGGTTCTGGTTAGGCTCAGAGCTGAATCCTTCCTGGTTCTACAGGATTTGTTTTAGCATTCTCCTGTTCTAATCCACAGGAGGCAGGATCACTTATCATCATCATGTTTAACAAAAATGATCCTAAACTCATTTAGTACCTAGCAACTCCCCATGAGTTTGATGACTTCCCCAGGTATGATACAGCAACAGACACACAATTTAACACATCACATGTCTGAGAGCATATCAGATTTGAGTCTTATACATGATGATGATGATGACAAGGTTCAACAAGATTCACGCGGTACACATGTCATAGAGCACCAGTTAAAAATAAACACCTTCATAAAAAGATACTGACCTCATTTAGCCAGAATTCACTCCAGTTGACGTTGGTGACCAGATTGCCGAACCAGCTGTGTGTCTGTAGAGAGAAGGTCAGCTCAATAACAGGAGATCAGGTTGGGCTGTCATTATAAAAGTCTCTTACTGTCAATAGTCAACACGGGCTGGAGAAGAGTGGCAATGAGAACAAAACCATAATACCCCAGCCAAGTACAATATACCCACCTCTGGCTTGGATGAAGATCAGAGCCATGTTTGTCAGACACCTTTATGTCCTTCCAGACGCCAGTACTATACAGTGCTATAAAGAGGTATAGGAATCACAGCCAATCAATATCATGTTTGATGTTCCTTCACTCTTCACAACCTAGGCTAAGGGCTAGGTCTGCCTGTCGAAGCATTCCTCCTAGATCAGCTGACAACCTAGGCTCAGGGGTTGGCCTGCGTGTCAAAGCATTCCTCCTAGATCAGCTGACAACCTAGGCTAAGGGCCAGGTCTGCCTGTCAAAGCATTCCTCCTAGATCAGCTGACAACCTAGGCTAAGGGCCAGGTCTGCCTGTCAAAGCATTCCTCCTAGATCAGCTGACAACCTAGGCTAAGGGCCAGGTCTGCCTGTCAAAGCATTCCTCCTAGATCAGCTGACAACCTAGGCTCAGGGGTTGGCCTGCCTGTCAAAGCATTCCTCCTAGATCAGCTGACAACCTAGGCTAAGACTTTTCAAGTTGCACATTTTTCCCTAGGAAATAACTAGTATCCTCCAAATGTGCTATTCCATCAAACCATCACGAAAGAGGTTTGACTCTATGACCACTAGGCCGGTAGGTAACTGTGTTAGCCACTAACACATACCTCTAAATCAATTGACTCCACCAACGACTTTTGGACATTCTGCCACTAACTTTGCAAAACCATTAAGATATGTTGCATATGTGCTTCTGCTAACTGAAAGAGAGAATTTAAATGCTAAAACATGTGCGTGCTAGACAATAGAGTCAACTACTTACAATTTCATGGATAACTACATCGGTGAGCGACTTGTCTCCGACAATAATACATGGGGTGACGAAGGTCAGGCACGGGTTTTCCATTCCTCCGTAAGGGAAGGAGGGTGGCATAACGAGGATGTCATACTTCCCCCAGACATACTCTCCAAACAGTCGTTCCCCAGTCTGAAGAAAGTCTTCGACAACGTCCTTGAACTCAGCCTGTGCCCTCTCCTGTAGAAGATATACAATGTTTAACAGTTAATGAAACCATATATAAGCTCTTGACATCCTTAACATTAGCAATTCTGTACTGTAAACTTATTGTACGTTTATGTTCGGTTAAATGCTACAAATGTTCATATTTATGAACAACATAACCAGTTCTAACTACAAAGTGGGGTAGCTTATAAATCTGATGCGCACCTCGAGAGGCCCTGGGGAAATTCCTGGTGTGGATGCTAACTGCGATTTAGGGGTTAAAAAGGAAAATATATGCCAGCCCCTACCCCTGGCTAGTCGATTAAATGTCATGCTTTCGAAGATAAAGGTGACAAACCGAGAGAAGCCATGTATCAATATCCCAAGGATCCTTGCCAGTGATCAGGACAATGTCGGGACATTTGCCAATGATTAGGACATTTGCCAATAATTAGGACATTGCTGGGACATTTGCCAATGATTAGGACATTGCTGGGACATTTGCCAATGATTAGGACATTGCTGGGACATTTGCCAATGATTAGGACATTGTTGGGACATTTGCCAATGATTAGGACATTGCTGGGACATTTGCCAATGATTAGGACATTGCTGGGACATTTGTCAATGATTAGGACATTGCTGGGACATTTGCCAATGATTAGGACATTGTTGGGACAATTTCCAGTAAACAGGACACTGTTGGAACACTTGCCAATAATCCGGATATTGTTGGACACTTGGCTCAGCCCACACAAATGAAGATAAATCCCTCAGTAGAACACTTGGCTTGGCTCAAACAGAATAAAAAAACACACTCACCAGAACACTTGGCTCGGCCCACACATGGCTCCGTGGCCCAATACTGGCCGATTGTAAATCTCCCACAGCAAGTGCCACTAAGTACGCTGGCACCGGGTTAGTTTGCTAAAAAAAAAAAGAGAAATTAACAATATATTTCACAAGACCTGTTTTGTATAATTAAATTAGCGTGCAAATGGTAATTAAACAATTCTGAAATGTCAGTCTGCTATCAATGGTGCACCTCTGGTGCTGAACCCCCAACCAAAGTGTGCGGAACAGCACCCTGCACTGATCATCACCATTACTGTTATTCAGAATCTTTAATAAGAACCTGAGAACAATCACAATTAATGAGAATCTACTGATTTGGGTTTGAACTCTTTCCAGCTACGGCTGTGAGTTTTCACTTTCGGCATTTGTTTTTTCAGGTAAGAAATTTTGCAGCATCATATGAAGAAATCTTTGAGAATCCTATGGAAAACTTAAGAGAATCCTATTAAACATTTTCAGAAAATCCTATGAAAAACCTAAGAGAATCCTATTAAACATTTTCAGAAAATCCTATGAAAAACTTAAGAGAATCCTATTAAACATTTTCAGAAAATCCTATACAGAAATTTATGAGAATCTTATGAATAAATTTGCGATAATCCTATTAAAAGATTTCTGAGAATCTTATGAAAAGAACTTAAGAGAATCCTATTAAGAAATTTTAAAGAATCCAGTGAAGAAATTTCAGAGAATCATACAAAGACACCTATAACTGTGTGACCTCCAGTCTCTTTCTATTCTCTTTATTCAGTGCCTAAAGCTCACATAGGCATATTTTAGTTTGGGAAACATATATTATGATTCACACAACAGCTACAGAAATAAACAAATTCTGAGGCAAGCTACATTTCAATACATCACACGCCCGGCTCGATAGTGTAGTTGGCTAAACCGGATTGCGCAGTGACCGAATGACGAACTCCTTGTTGTCTGGGTTCACTCCCGGGGGTAGGCAGAAAAGCATTTTCTCCCAGATTTACGGTTTTTATCATGGAATCAAGGCCCAAGGGTTGCGATATCCATAATACCAAGCCTAAGGGTTAACAACTCATGGCTTCTGGATACTAAACAAATATACATCACACACAAAAAACATGAACCTGCCTCAAAGAAAACACAATTTGTGCTGAGTTCCCGGTTCGACCTTTTCCCAGAACTACTCTTATTTGCACTCATGACTGCTGTAAAGCCATCTGGCACACTAACAACTGCTGAGTATGTGGCCTTCACTGCTGGTGTATCCTGGCAGGGGAAGAAAGATCTGTTCAGCACTGACTGTCCTTGGGTGTATAAAAATGGCTTTACTTTATCTGTAACAAACAATATACATATAATCAAAGAGTCAATCAACACATTATAATCCATTATATAGATCAACATACAATAATCCCAACTTTAAATAATAGAATGATCCCAGATGTAAATCATTCTGCAATCCCAGATGAACGTTGAGTCAGTATGTAAAGGACTATCTTTACGCCAGTCTTGCATCAAGCATATGATGCTAGAATCACATTTGTACAGACTAGTTGATCCTTGATGGCTGATGTGGCTTACATGACGCTGACGGCTTTTACTTCCAAGGATAAAGCCTGGCATCTACTTTTGTTGTTTAGACAAGGTGGTCTGGCAACCAAGAGCAGGGTAGAGAAACTATCAGACTGGTAGTGGGGCAGCCAAGGCCAGGATAGAGAAACATTCAGACTGATGATCTGGCAGCCAAGGCCAGGGTAGAGAAACTATCAGACTGGTGATCTGGCAGCCAAGGCCAGGGTAGAGAAACTATCAGACTGGTGATCTGGCAGCCAAGGCCAGGGTAGAGAAACAATCAGACTGATGGTGGGGCAACCAAGGCCAGGGTAGAGAAACATTCAGACTGATGGTCTGGCAACCAAGGCCAGGGTAGAGAAACTATCAGACTGGTGGTGGGGCAGCCAAGGCCAGGGTAGAGAAACTATCAGACTGGTAGTGGGGCAACCAAGGCCAGGGTAGAGAAACTATCAGACTGGTAGTGGGACAGCCAAGACCAGGGTAGAGAAACTATCAGACTGGTGGTGGGGCAACCAAGGCCAGGGTAGAGAAACTATCAGACTGGTGGTGGGGCAACCAAGCCAGGGTAGAGAAACTATCAGACTGGTAGTGGGGTAGCCAAGACCAGGGTAGAGAAACTATCAGACTGGTGGTGGGGCAGCCAAGGCCAGGGTAGAGAAACAATCAGACTGATGGTCTGGCAGCCAAGGCCAGGGTAGAGAAACTATCAGACTGGTGGTCTAGCAGCCAAGGCCAGGGTAGAGAAACTATCAGACTTGTAGTGGGGCAGCCAAGGCCAGGGTAGAGAAACTATCAGACTGGTGATCTGGCAGCCAAGACCAGGGTAGAGAAACAATCAGACTGATGGTCTGGCAACCAAGACCAGGGTAGAGAAACTATCAGACTGATGGTCTGGCAGCCAAGACAAGGGTAGAGAAACTATCAGACTGATGGTCTGGCAACCAAGACCAGGGTAGAGAAACTATCAGACTGATGGTCTGGCAGCCAAGACCAGGGTAGAGAAACTATCAGATTGGTGATCTGGCAGCCAAGACCAGGGTAGAGAAACTATCAGACTGGTGATCTGGCAGCCAAGACCAGGGTAGAGAAACTATCAGACTGATGGTCTGGCAACCAAGGCCAGGGTAGAGAAACTATCAGACTGGTGGTCTGGCAGCCAAGGCTAGGGTAGAGAAACTATCAGACTGGTGGTCTGGCAACCAAGGCCAGGGTAGAGAAACAATCAGATTGGTGATCTGGCAACCAAGACCAGGGTAGAGAAACAATCAGACTGGTGATCTGGCAACCAAGACCAGGGTAGAGAAACAATCAGACTGGTGATCTGGCAGCCAAGACCAGGGTAGAGAAACTATCAGACTGATGGTCTGGCAACCAAGGCCAGGGTAGAGAAACTATCAGACTGGTGATCTGGCAGCCAAGACCAGGGTAGAGAAACTATCAGACTGATGGTCTGGCAACCAAGGCCAGGGTAGAGAAACTATCAGACTGGTGATCTGGCAGTCAAGGCCAGGGTAGAGAAACTATCAGACTGGTAATCTGGCAGCCAAGGCCAGGGTAGAGAAACTATCAGACTGGTAATCTGGCAGCCAAGGCCAGGGTAGAGAAACTATCAGACTGGTAATCTGGCAGCCAAGGCCAGGGTAGAGAAACAGATTGGATGTGGTTTCTTTAGTAATTAAATATTGTTGCCCATTAAATCCCAAACACTTAGTTCTGGGGACGAACCAAACATATTCCAATAGAGTTAGAAGTGAAGAAAAGATTTTGCACTCTGCAAAAGTGATAAAAGTATAACTAAAGTGAAAGAAAAGGAGGGTAATCTAAGTAAAATCACACAGAGAAACGAATAATCTAGGCAGGACAAGATATGAACTAGTGAAGACAGCTATAGATAAGGCACCCAGAGTTGAGCTGGTAAACAACATCAGCTCCAAAGGCAGACAATGACAGAGAGGAGGATGCATAAAGTGATCATTCCAAAAACTATTTCAAGGTTTGAGAAAATCAGGAGAATCCTGTAACTAGTGTCATATATAATCTTGTAACTACTGTCAC